TGTCCATGAATAATCAATTTGATAAAATTGCTACCCACCAGATTTCAATATCCTATCTCGAATGATTCACAAGATATATAGGACTGAATGTTTTTTTGTGCACATCTCTGTATATGAAATAACACAAGAGGTAACTATCGATATTTCGGCGAGGCTTGGATTGGATTAAAACCCCCTTCACCACTCTCTGGATCACTGTGGATCACCACTGGTTAGAAACTAGAGAAATATCAATGACGCGGTCGCCTAACCACTTCAGGGCCGCTAGAGATAACAGCACCGTTTTTCCAGAAAATTGTATAGTTTATTTAGAGCAATGAATTTTATACTATTCGTACAGTATAGCATTCTTTCATTGATTTCGAGCTCCTACCAGGGTTGTTTCTCGAATTAATTTCATCACGCTATAGATTATCATTAATAAATGTATTAGGTATATGGATTATTCACAATTAGCTATTCGGGAGTCGTCCTTACAGTATAGGTACATACATGTACATACATAGGTATGTAACACTCAACTATATGGTCACAGCACCGTAATGTCCTAATTCCGAGATAATAAGTCGGAATTCCGACACAATAAGTCGGAAATATATAATTCCGAAATACTAAGTCGGAATTCCGACATAATAAGTCGGAATTACATGATTCCGAGATACTAAGTCGAAATTTCGACATAATAAGTCGGAATTATATAATTCCGAGATACTAAGTCGAAATTCCGAGATACTAAGTCAGAATTATAAAAATTAATCGCGGTGGCCCCTCTACGCCTTCGTAGCTTACCTATCCTTTTTAATTTTTTTCTCAGACACATTAAAATGATGTATATTCAAATGATGAAAATTGGTACAGGTTTATTTGAAATAGTCCTCGATGATAATTTGTGATTATTTCTTTCTAGAAAAACCACAGAACTACATTTGCTGATCACCTATTTGAAGAAAATGATGATTCGTTTTTTCGGACACCCTGTGTTTTATGATGATAAAAATCGGTACAGGTATATTTCAAGTGGTACTGATTCAGAATCCATCATCAAGTTTCGTGGAAAAAAATCCCTAATAGTACTTTCTAAAATATGGGTCATTGAAATTTGTTGCAGTTGGCCACGATAACAGTCCAAGAATTAGATCACTCTCTCATTGGATGGGCATCTTAAATACCTATCCAACAAGAAGAGGTTTTTTGAAATTGGTCGGATAATAACGATTATACAGGGGTGGTAAGTCCTTAAGGTGGACACACTGTATATATGACACCATGCACGAACATTGAATTATATCAGATATAGATGAATTCTATCGATCACACACATCAAGAAATTGAAAATCATAATATTCTGAAGCCATATATGTACCCATTGAGATATTATATTAGTACATCTGAGGAACAGTAGTTGTATTCAATAAAAAAGCGAAAAGCGTTCAAGTATCAAAAAGGGGGGGTTAACGTAATCAATATATCTTTTACATAGTTCTGTAAAACTGGCTCAGGTGATGCTTTGTATTCTTGACAACTCTCAATATTTGGTAAACAGTCATTCCTGATAGCCCGTTTTACGCAAATAGGATGACGGATGACATAAATTTCTATTTTTTCAACTTTCTCTCGGTCTTTATCTCAAAGATCAAGGACATGACTATTTATACAACACATAATATAATGACTTAGGACTTCGACAAATGACATTAATGACAGGGGTTCCATTGAATTTTATTGGATATGCACATAAAACATACAAGTGTGATACATCGATAAATTCGTAATTTTATGATCTATCCGATGGTTTGAAAATCCGATATGGCCGCCGTTGAAAAAATCAAAATGGGCTTCGATAACTTCGAATCTAGTGGGCCTAGACATTGTTTCATGTCACCGTTGAATTTAGCATTCGAACTTCAGTAAGGGTACCAAATTTCAATACTTTAGCAGTAATAGTTGAAAAGTTATTGATAACTTGAAAAGTCGATGGTTTTCAGTTTTTTCAGGATATTTCAGGAATTATGAAAGATATTCTTGATTTTTTTTTTTATATTCGAGATGGTCATGAAATGGGGCATTTTTTTCGTAATTTAACCTAGTTCGCATTTCTCTCCGTTTCTCATTTGAAATAGTGTACCATGAAATATGAATTACCCTGTAACATTCCTGATAGCCCGTTTTACGCAGATAGGATGACGGATGACGTTAATTTCTCTCTCTAAGTGTCAATTTTTTCAACTTTCTCTCGGTCTTTATCTCAAAGATTTAGATATGACTATTTATACAACTCATAATATTATGACTTAGGACTTCAACAAATGACACTAATGACAGGGGTTCCATTGAATTTTATTGGCCATGCACACAATACATTCAAGTGTGATACATCGATAAATTCGTAATTTTATGATCTATCCGATGGTTTGAAAATCCAATATGGCCGCCATTGAAAAAATCAAAATTGGCTTCGATATCTTCGAATCTAGTGGGCCTAGACATTTTTTATGTCACCGTTGAATTTAGCATGCGAACTTCAGTAAGTGTACCAAATTTAAATACTCTAGCAGTGATAGTTGAAAAGTTATTGATAACTTGAAAAGTCGATGGTTTTCAGTTTTTTCAGGATATTTCAGGAATTATAAAAGATATCCTTGATTTTTTTTGATATTCGAGATGGTCATGAAATGAGGCATTTTTTTCGTAATTCAACCTCTAGTTCGCATTTCTCTCCGTTTCTCATTTAAAATAGTGTACCATGAAATATGAATTACCCTGTATAGACTTATACCTATGTGAGCTTTTTTTTTGTGTAATAACCGTGAAAACTGTGGATCCAGGTGCTTTTTTTATAATTGATATGGTGATCGAATTCACTGATGCGCTTCTGTTCTGCCCAAACTCGACAACAATAAACAGTTGGAAATTGCAATATAAGGTTCTTCTAACATCTCATTCTAAATAGATGTCGCTCTCTTCAGAAAGAGGATAATAGGAAATCAACCATCCTAAAGTTATTGAACACTATCAAAAATGAACGAACGTTCACCATTTTTGTTTTTGTTTGTCGTGATTATATATATATATGTATATATGAATATATCAGCGCCTCTTACGGATTCTGTATGAACAAAAACCTTATAAGTGTTGTCAGTTTTTGACCAATGTAATCATGGCAACCAATCTTGAGTAAGAACACCATCTTCTTCCAAACATCTCTGTTCTCTAGGCTTAGTTCTAGGTTGGGTCCTTGATGCAAACTGACGTATTTGTCATCTAACAGGGTACGGACAGATCATAGCTCCTTTGTCTTTTAATCATCTAGTAACTTTCGTTTTCGTGTATTGGCGTCCCTGATATGACATTATTGCTGGCACGTCACATTTCATAGGCGTTAAAAGAGATCTAAAAAAATTTTAATTTCATACTTATTCATCTTAATAATACGACATTATTCAATTAGATATTAGATTAGATAGATTTATTGTATTGAAATAATAACAATTCTTATTACAAGCTACAAGGGTTGGGTAATCTGTGATTAATGAATACATGAGAACTAATAGCTGAAACGAAAACGAAAATCCTTCCTGCGGGACCTTGATAGGCATTGAAACAATAATTGATATGCAGATTACTCATTCACAGCAAAAAATCTAAGCTTCAACAAATTGATTAGAACCTGATGTACCTACTAGGAGTTTCAAGTCAGCTAGGCCACCATAATTCAGAAGATATATTTAATCATCTAGAGATTCAACATCTTGAAATAATCGACAATCCCTGATACCAGCATAAACTGGACATTTAAAGAGAATGTGTTCCAAAGATTCCGGTCTGTGGAGATTGCAAACAGTGCATTCCTTCAGTATTTATTCTGTACACTATTCGATTGGAGAATTTCTAAAGAACGACTTACTGCATGTCCTTAGTTGAGCGATAATTCTAGTTATATATATGGGAACGGGCGCTTTGAGGTAACTTTGAACATTTACCCGTACATTATTCAATTCTGTTTTGGAAGGATGGTGAAATGTGCTACGTTAGACTGTATCAATAGTTGGATGGCAAATTTGAATTTGTCAGATTCTCATAAAATGCAAATCGACTTAGAACATGGAAAGTGAAGTGACGGAATCGGAAAAAAATTGGTCAAAACATCAGCAAAGTATGATAAGTAAAACTAATACGAAATCACATATTATACTAGCATTCTCATTGTGCCTATATTTGTCCATTCCACAAGTTTTTTAATGCATTTTAGTAGAAACAGTTTTGATTAAAACGGATGATTAAAAGAAGAGAGGCAAATGCCCTACTAGTTGAAAAATTATACCTTCATTCTGGAAATATTAAGTATTCGTGAAAAACTGCAAAAATAATTCCCAACATGAATATATACAGCACACATGACATATGAGCACATTAGTTTGAATATCTACCAACATGAAAATTTTCACCATTTCTCAACCATAAGGCTTAGTCTGAAATCAAAATTTATTTATTGAAAGGTACTGCCTAAGGTAAGGTAAGGTAAAACTCTCAGAAAAATTTGCTCACTGCCTCACAAAGATTAGGCTCGAGTTGAAAAATCAAAAACTCGGAGATTCTCATCATCATTTGGATATAATATGTAGAGTTGAAAGAGAAATAACATGTGAAAATTACGTATGATACGCCAATGTGCTTAAGATAACCTAAAAAGAACAACAATGTCAGAAATCTAGTGTTTATCCCCAGAAATGAATGAAGATGGAACTATATAACTACAAACACTGTAGAGTGAGAGGAGACAATGATCTGTCCGTACCTAGAGAAATACGTCAATTTACATCAATAAGGGACCCTAGTTCGAAGTTTAGGCGTCCACACATGGTCCACACTCATTCACAGCACAGCATGCTTTTGTTTCGTTACTGGCGTGAGGCACTCGTTCAGCAATTGTCAATAGTCAGTCAGTTGTCGGTTGTCAAGTTCAGAAATGTTTGTAGTTTCGTGCAGATTGTTTGCGATTTGTGATATTCTGCGTTTTGTGCCGATAAATAGAAAATGGAGAAGAAATAAAATAAATAAACGTTGTTTTACTCAATTTTTCCTTGTTTGAACGTACAATCTTGTAATGCAAGATGGTTTGATGTGTGTGATGATCAATACATTCATGAAAAGACGGTGAAAAATTTGTGATCGAGGTGTATTTGGAGTTGAAAAAACAATGGATCTAATGGGGATGGGTGATGACCGTGTTTATGCCGCAGAAAGAATTACCAGAAAACGAGTGCGAAAGGTTGGTATTTTCATATTTCATCAATTATTTGAATGAAAAATAGTTCGGGTAAGAAATATAGTGGCTGCCAATATAAAATTTAATATCATATTTTCCATTTCTCCCTTAATTATCATTAGAACCTTTTTTCAATAATAGGCTCTAAAAATAAAAATAATAGCAAGTGTTGGAAAGACCTGGACTCAGGTTTATGATTCTCTGCGTCAATTGGCAGGGAACAATTTAACGAAAAAACTGAAGGTAGCTTGTATTTTGAAATAAAAAGTGATGATGGCTCCAAAGAGTCAAAACGTTGACTTTTAAAATTGAAGGTGCCAGATCCTCAATAGTGGCAGACCCAAGTGCTTTCAGTTTTGTTATGTTTCCAGTGATAGAGATGGGAAAGGACTTTTTCAAAAATCTTGAAGTCTTGCTTGAAGTTGAATGGCTTTTCAGAACTGAAAATGGGCATTGACTCCTACAACTCCAATTCAACCTCTCTTAGCTACACAAGTTTTGACAAGACAACTAAACAATACGAGAATAAATTCAAAACTAGTTTAAAAATGCATCAAATGGATTTAGAATTCTAATTCATTAACCAATCAACTTATGCAACCTTCTATAAGTGGATTACTTTGTTAGAAAATTGAAATCAGCAAATGCAAGGGCAAATGTATCACCTGAACAAAATGTCCAGAATACCTAATGCTCGACCTAATGCCTTAAGTTGGAGAAAAATATGTGTTTTTATTGCATATCACCAAATGTGCAGCTTTGATTAAATTTAGAGTTGAAAAACATGTAGATAATTGGGTTTAGAGGGTGGGTCAAATTTGGTACTTTTAAGGAGTAAATGAAGAACTGCAGTCTCATAGATAATACATAAATGATTACAAAATAATTAATTGCTTCACAGTTCTTCACTACTTTTATTTCCCCTTGTTACAACAATGAACAGCTGAGACAACACCCATTCCTTTCTGTCAACATTACTTGTTAAGTGTCTATGTCAAAATGTCAGAGAAATCAGGCAATCATTTTTGTCATGTCAGAACAGGGTCATATTCAGTTTTGACCTTAGATCATAAAGATCTATGGGTTCAACATTATGGACATGTTGAAATGCTCTCATACACTATTCAACAGAAAGTCCTATTCTTGATCTAGATAGAAGAAAACTGATATCAGTAGTTGGAGGTCAATTCTCATGACAAATTCAATACTGGAAACCTGATCTTGCTAACTTGTTCCATTCAAAAGTTGAAAGGGTGGGGAGGACTTTGCATGTCCTCACATGTACATAAGCTTTGAAGCTACATTAGAAAACATCAAATTTCAGACACAAGACACCTCAAAATGTGATAAATTTACTGTAGTTAATTACAAAAATGTTCACCTATTCAACAAGACTTTACAAGTGTGCTTATTCACTCCCTTATTTATGAAATATTGCAGAAAATGTTGTACCTAGATATATAATGTAGTATAATTTTTTTTTGTTAAAGTAGTCACAGAAGAACTCATCCAGGTTATAGTTTGATAGTAGATCATGCTCTGTTGAAAAGAATTGTTCTTAAGTATGTCTTCAAAGCATTAGATTCTAGGGTTTTCCATTGCAAAGGTGATTTGTGCAATGTTCTTTTTTTATCAGATGAATATCTATATGGTGCTCATCAGTATGCCTGTTGTTCTTCTATTATAAGTATGTTCAGGTATGCTAGTTCCAAATAGATCATACTTTTTTTATGACCATGGTTGTTTCTAGGATTTTTATACATATTGTAGTTATAGTTAATACTTTGTTTTCTCCTTTGTTTTCAATAAAAAATTCACAACTATCTCTGTGATTTAAATGGAATATTCTTTTCAAAGCCCTGATGTGATTATTGAGCAGCAAAAAATGCATCATAAATGAGTGTGTCTTCATTTCCAGGGTGTTGTTGAGTATCTCGTGAAATGGAAGGGTTGGAGCCAGAAGCATAACACTTGGGAGCCCGAAGAAAACATACTAGATCACCGTCTTATAGAGCTGTATGAACAGTCACACAGGTAATAAAAATTAATATTGAAAAATATCACACATTTAAACACCAGGGACAAAATGTTAAATTAATAAAATATTCTGAAAGGCAATCATGAATCTGTGATTTGATGTTTGTAATACCACCAAGGTGGGAAGTGATTCATTCCTGGCATGGGAATAGTTAGTTAACCAAGATGCAAAGCATTGAGGTTAGCTTTAATCTCAAGACGGGATTGAAACTTCCTACCAAGGTTTGTATACTACTTTATTTACGACCATCATATTTCCATCAAAATTAATTAATCTCTGTTTTGTTCTGAACATATCTGAAATATTACATAATTGAGGGCGGGAAGTGAGGGCAAGAAGTAGAGGTGTGTAATATGACATTTCCCGACCTTCAACGACGTTAGTAATGATAACATTACATATAATGATAAATTACTTTATTGATCATATCTGTAAATGGACATACACAAATATACAATACAATACAATCAATGGCCATTGACCTGAGTCTTTCAGCCAATCCCATTACATATATGGTTGTAAATAAAAACAAGTTTCCAAGTTCGAACTTCTTGATTGAGTATGAAAGTTTTGAAGAGGAATATTCTCAGTTATATATAATGAACATGCAAAAAATGGAAACATGAAGAAATACTGTCAGAATTCTAAATTTCAGAAGGTTTTTATTTTTAAATTCTTATTGTGTGTTTGAAAGATGTTATTCAATATTCATCACTGCACATATACAGGAAAGTAGTTGTTTTCTGGAGAATTGACAAAAAATTATTCATATTTTCAGATAGAGAATGTGAATTACCAATGTATTTCTTCAGATGGTTTGCTGGTCAGTTATTGCTGCCAGACACTTTTCTATTTACTACTTTTTTCATTGGAAATAATTGAATCAAAGTATAAGTCAAGATGGCGGACACGTGTGGTTTATGTGATAAGTCTTTTAATAATTCCTATGCAATTGCATGTAATCAATGCTCAATTTGGTATCATATCAAGTGTGTGGATCTTACAACAGCTGGGCTAAATTATTACGCTGCTGAAGGTAAGAAGCTGAAGGGCGATCAATGGTTTTGCCAAAAATGCAAAAGTGAGGTTATGACAGCAACTAAAAATCAGCCGAAAAGTAGCAAAGCTGAACAAAGGGACAGGAAGGAATATACTATAAACGATATTATGCATAAATTGGTTGATATCGAGCAAAATTATGTGTCATTGCTTGAAAAATTTGAGGCCCAAAGCAAGGTCAATGAAGAACTCAGGAGGGAGTTGAAGGTTGTCACAAATAAGCTAAATCTGGAGGTAAATAAGAATGAACAAGGAAAACTGAGTAAGAATGTTATAATTATGGGTATCCCTAAAGTAAGCTGTAATGAAAATGTTGAAGGAACCATAAAAAAAATTGGCAAAAAACTAGACATACACATTGGTAATTTCAAATCCTTCAGATTGGGCAGGGGCGAAATAGGAAAAATCATGCCAATCAAGGTAGAGTTTGACTCTGAGCAGGATAAGATGTCCATGTTGAAAGCAATAAAATCAAAGAGGATTACAACACAAGATATTGGTATTGTGGGTCAGGGATATGATATTTATATCAATCAGGACCTTACTAAATGGAATCTGCAAGTCTACAAAGCAACAAGAACATATGCCAAGGAAAATAAATATAAATTTGTTTGGGTGCAGAATGGTCAAATATTGCTGAGGAAGTCAGAAAAGGAAAAAGTGCATGTGATTGAAAAGGAAGAGGATCTGCACAGTCTAAAAAACTTCTAAAAACAGTTGTATGTAATGAACTGAAAATTTCCTACACAAATCTACAAAGCATTAAAAATAAATTTGAATCTTTTGAAGCATATGTATATGATACAAAAAGTGATATAATCTGTGTAACAGAGACGTGGCTATACAACAATGAGGTCCAGTACTACAAGCTAAAAAATTACACAACTGTACATTCATGCAGAGAATCAAGAGGCGGAGGGGTAGCAATTTACATCAAAAATAACTTAAAGCATCATGAAATTACCAGGAATGATCAGCTTGTACAGTGTAATTTAGTTGGAATAAATTTATATGAACTAAAATTAAAAGTGTGGGTAGTTTACAGACCACCAGGATCACATACAATGGAATTTATAGATGAGTTCACAAACTTTCTGCTAGTGAATAATAAGGGGGATAACATAGTTACTGGTGACATAAACATTAATGTAATGGAGCCAGAATAATAAATAGCAAAGGAATATTTAGGGGCCCTGCAACTGTCTGGATTCTGCCTCAAAAATGACCTATCCCCCGCTGGGCCACAAGGGTCACTGCAAATTCAAGTACAATCATAGATCATGTTATATGTAAAAGTAATATGAAATGCCAAGTTAGTGTTCACAAATACTTCTGTTTATCAGATCACGAGGTGCTTAATATAAAATTAGGAAAAAATGTACCTGAGTATAAAACCAACTGTAGATTAGAGAAATTGAAAGTAGATACAAATAAGCTTAGTAAAGTATTTAAGAACTTGAGTAAAAATGAAGAAATTAACAATTTTGATGATCTGATCACTATGGTTCAATATTTCAAGGAGTATAGTGAGTATTAAATGTAAATCAGGAAACTACTGGATTAATTCTGACTTTGTTGAACTAGTAAAAGAAAGAGACAAATACTATCTGTTGAAAATTAAACAACCAAGTAATGAAAATATTTCTAGATTCAAAATGTTGAAAAACAGAGTGAAAAAAAGAAGTCTTGTGCTTGAACATGAATACTTCAACAAAGAATGGAGTAAAGCAGGCTCAAATAGTAAGAAACAGTGGCATTGCATGAATAGATTCATTAAAGGTGAGGGTAATAAGAAGCACATTGTGGAATTTCTATCCATCAATGAGCAGATTATTACAGATATATATCAAATTGTAAACGAACTTAACAGATACTTCTGTGAAATTGGAGCAGAAATTATTGAAAATATAACCAGTGAAAAACAGAATAGGAGAGACCTTATTGATTTTGAGGAGTTTAATTGTTTAAATACCTTGTATATTGAGGAAGTAACGGCTCAGGAAATAGAGAATATTATAAATATGCTCAAATAGTGACTTGAAACTTCTCAAAGCAGACATTATACCAATTATTACTAGATTAGAAAATGACATAATGCTGCAGGGAACCTTCCCAGATGTACTCAAGATCAGTAAGGTTACTCCTATACACAAATCTGGTTCAGTAAATCAGATGAATAACTACAGGCCAATAAGTGTTATCTGCAACTTGGCAAAAATCGTGGAAATATTAATAAAAACTAGAATTGTAAATTTTTTACAGAAATATGGCAATCTTGATCCATATCAATATGGCTTCATCAAAAATAGTAATACTCAATGTGCTGCAACTGATTTCATAAGCTATGTTAATAAAAACTTGATGAAAAACAATACATCACTACAGTCTTTATTGATCTTAAAAAAGCATTTGATGTAGTAGACCATGTACATTTGCTATACAAACTGGAACAAATGATTATAAGAGGCAATATAAATAATCTGATCAAATCATACTTGACCAACAGAAAGCAATTCGTTTTTATTGATGATACAAAAAGTAAATTGTTAGATATAAAAACGGGCGTTCCACAAGGATCAGTAATTGGACCGCTTCTATACATACTACATGTTATGAGCCTACAAAAAGCTCCATTGAAAGCTAGATACTACACGTTTGCAGATGCCTATAGTGATACGTCATTAGAAAAATTAGAAAGAATAGTAAATGAAGATCTCATACCTGTGGAACAACAACTTTTAATAAAATCCAAATACTTCAAAATAGGGTGATAAAGATCTTGTTCAACTTGGACTATCGTATGTCGACGGATACTGTATACCTAGATACTAAATTAGATAAATTAGATATGATTATCAAGCTGGAACAATGTAAATATATATATAAACTGGTACACAGCCAACTGAAAACTAATTCTGAACTAAGCTATAGAAATCAAATACACTCACATGACACAAGGAATAAACATCAACTAAATATACAGAAGCCAAGAACTAATAAAGTACTCAATAATCCTATAGATAGAGCTATAAAAGCCTACAATGAGGTACCTGAGACTATAAAGAATATTGTTAGTTGGGGTACATATAAAACCACACTCAAAAAATGGTGTTTGGACAAAATGCTAAATTAATATACCTATATACATATATATTTACAAACTGCTAATTAATATCTCTAGATATATATATTTACATATCAGGTGATAAGATATTATGAATTGTTACCGCACGTTTTCTTTATTATATGATCCCGAGACCGGCTAATCCAAGCCGATTGGGGACCAATGCATTTCACAAATGATTCATGATGTGTACTATTATCATTATCTATAGTATTATCTATGTTAGCATTATTATTATAAATTATAAATTATTAAAAAAAAAGTCACTTCACTGTATTTCTAAAAACAATAAAATTGTCAGGCTAGTGTGAAAATTAAAATACTATAAAGCAATGTTTTACATTCTTTGGAGCATACCTACTACACTAAATAAAATAATGATATAAAATTACAAATTTACTCCACATAATGTTTGCCAATAAAATATTGCCAATACCTACGATTCACCCAGTAATACTCAATGGGATGTATGATAATTATAGGGGAGAGAGAGAGAGAACATCTTTATTAGGGATATACCCCAAAAGGCCATTGACCGAAGTCTTTCAGCCCAGTTTACAATTATAATATATAAAGTATGAATATTAATAATAATAGTAATAATAGTTAAATGAGAAAAAAAAAAAAAGTGAATTGCTAATTGCTTTCTTGTGATAATTATATATTTTTGAAATTAACAGAAAGCACTTCAAATATGGAATAAAATATAGGGTGTTCCATTGAACAAAAAAATAACATGTTCACACCCCCTCCAGAGAGGACATCTGATTCAAGATTTAGTTTGAAGTTTCCAATATATCGATTAGTTTTTGAGATATTGAGCGTTGAAAGTGTGAAATCTATAGTCAATTTCCCAAATTTCTATCACATAATACAGGCTGATTCACGGTGGATGGCACGTTAGACGTTTATGGAGAACGGGACATAGGATCATTCTGAAATTTTGGTAACTCACGTAGTTGCTCTTGGTCTATCCATCTAAAATATTTTCAGCTCTGCGGCGTTGCCGCTTCTATCGAAAAGTAGCAACAACTTTGTTATTTTGAATGGAACACCCTGTATTTCATTGCATTTTCAGATTTTCTCTGAAGAGCTGATTTCATCGATGTATCACACTTGGGGTCTAGCGGAAATGATTACAGAGATATAGGGTGTGAAAAATCGTCATTTTTCAACTTTAGGATTTTTTTTTGTCGAAACTATTCATTATTGGTCAAAACGGCTCGCATGTCCCTATCTCAACTTTTGATTAACTATCTACTGATATTTAATTGGGACATATACCGGGTGATCAAGATTCTGAATTCTGCACGACCCTGTATTTGTTTCAATTAAATGTCAGTAGATAGTTGATCAAAAGTTGAGATAGGGACATGTGAACCGTTTCGACCAATAATGAATAGTTTCGACAAAAAAAATTCCTTAAGTCGAAAAATGTCGATTTTTCACACCCTATATCTCTGTAATCATTTCCGCTAGACTCCAAGTGTGATATATCGATGAAATCAGCTTTCGAAAGAGAATCTGAAAATGCAATAAAATACAGGGTGTTCCATTTAAAATAACAAAGTTGTTGCTACTTTTCGATAGAAGCGGCAACGCTGCAGAGCTGAAAATATTTTAGATCGATAGACCAAGAGCAACTACGTGAGTAACCAAAATTTCAGAATGATCCTATGTCCCGTTCTCCATAAACGTCTAACGTGCCATCCACCGTGAATCAGCCTGTATAATGCACTATATTACACTTATAACACATTTTCTATAGAGACACAGATGTTAAAATTGATTTACATGAAATGTAGTTAGTGAAATCCAGTCTCCCAAAAGTTCTCAAGATACATTCTTATTGAGTCATTCTGGAAATATGTGAATAGCCTTGTGTAACAGAATCTTCCTGATAAAAGCACTTGCCTTAGAGTGAAACTGATGTGACAAAATCAATGGAGAGCATGAATTCAATTGATGGCATGCCTTATATATTTTTGATGAAAAAATCCATTGCAAGATATTTTTCCTAATGAAAATGACAGATTTTCAATTTTCTTCAATTTCTGTGGTGAAAATTGAGTAAAATGAAAAGGTGACCTAGGTTAGGTTAGGTTCCATGTGAGTGGGGCGAATACCACCGCTCCACTGCCACCCCAGAGAGGTCTATCGTGGCTCAAATATGGTGTACATCCCGGGTTTTTAAGTACTTGATTACTTTTCTGAATCTTCAATATTTCAATTATTTGTTAATCACCATTTTAGTATCTTCAGTATCTCCGGTTATCAAATGTTTTCATTACCTTTTCAGTATTCTAATTACTTTTTGAGTATATTAAATACATTTTAAGTATACTTTAATTACTTTTCAAATATTTTAGTTACTTTCCGAATATTTTAATTACTTTTTCAGTACAGTAATTCTATTTTTTATCACTTTAAATACTTATAAGTCTCCTGACATCATGTTTAAGTTAATGTTAGATATGATGAACGATTTTCGTGATTATCATCAGAATCTATTCAAAACATGATTCGAAATTTGTATCTGGGGGTTTTCGGAATCAAAGATTATAATTCTTTCGTGAAAATTTGAGATTTCAAGATGGCGGATTCAATATGGCGAATGAGTATTGTAATAATTATAAATCAGATCTATTTAATATAGTACCTGGGGGGTTTCGTGATCAGAGATGATGATTCTTTCGTCAAAATTTTGAAATTCAAGATGGCGGATGCCATATGGCGAACAAGTTTTGTAATTATGATCCCTATCTATTCAAAATTTTTAAAATTCAAGATAGCGGAAACAATATGGCCAACGAGTTTTTTAATTATGATCCGAATCTATACAAAACTTGTATCTGGAGGTTTTCGGGATCGGAGATTCTGATCCTTTTGTCAAAATTTTAAAATCCAAGAGTTTTGTAATGATCTGAATCAATTCAAAATTTGTACTAGTGGGTTTTAGGGTATAGGGTGTTGTTTTCGGGCTGAAAGAACTTGGGAATTTTATGTGAAGCCGGACCTGAACTCTATCTTTTCTGGTGAGTGTACCGATTTTCAAGAAAATATACAGGTTGGTTGGAAATATATGAGACGATAAAGATATGGGCAAAATTGATAAAACATCCTGTATCTCGGTTATAAGATGAAACACCCTGTATATTTTCTACACCATCAGAAAGTAGATATTCCAATGAACATAGAGCCCACAAATTTTTTTGAAAAAGCAGATATGTTGTCAAATGACCACCATTGTTGATGAAACTCTTGTTGAGTGAATTTTTATTTCGAAATTCAAATTTTCGAGTTCTGTTCTAACTGATGTTGAATTGCATTATTGATTTGTCCTTTTGGCTATTTAGTCGATTTGAAGAACAATATACTTGATTACCTGCCTGATTTTCCGGTTTTTGATCTAGCTTTTAGTTAAACTTATCTCCACATGTCTTCTTAGGTATTTTTTGTGTCTGAAGATGGCTGTTGAGCCGAAACTTGTCATAAACTTGATTTGTTAAAATAATTTTTGTGGTCGACTGACTTTGTGTTACACTGTTTTTTTTCTTTGAAAAAATATTTTCATTCTCAGTATCTTTTGTATTTTTTTGTTGTTTTACATATTGAAAATTTCAACCCAATTGGTCAAGCCGTTTAGTAATAGACGTACCGACAGCAGCGCCACCTACCGCGTCCAGTTGTTTTTTATATCATCCAGGAAACCATCGAAATACCCATATAAAATTTCAACCCAATAGGTTCAGCCGAGCGTTCAGCTACTTAGAATTTATGTGAAAAATATGAATACAGAAGGATAATTCTTACTACCCGTTGTCCTATTACCTGTTTCCCATAGGAATGAAGTATTTTCCCGCGGTAAAAAGTGGTCTATGTTCATCAGGGATAAAGTCGGCTTCTAATGGTAATAGTTATTTATATATCAAGGGAGGAAAGGTATCCATTTCCTCCCGCGTGTGACACATGAGAGGAAATGAAGCTTTGCTCCCAAAATATAGATATGATTTTATCCAGGAACGCGTATATTTGTGTCGTCCAAATCAATGTGTTACATATTCTAAGGTTTCAATTGACATATTCGAACTGAACGAATATCAATTTGTTTATGTTGTGAATCGGTCCAGTAGTTTCGGAGCCTATTTATAACAAACAAACACACTAACAAACAAACAACCAAATATTTGCTCTTCATAATATTAGATAAATATTGTTGAATATTGGTGAATATGGAAAGTTGATGAAATTGAAACTAGTGTACAACGAAACGCTGTATAACCAACTGGGTAAATATGAAAATCTGGGATATAAACAATGTTGCCACATATAAAAAATCTACTGGAAAACTAGAAGTTATCTAAATTCAGGGCTAATACTTGAAATTTCTTATTTAATTATATATTTTTGGGAAGCGCAGAGCATCAATGTTACAAAAATTGAAAAAATGTACAGTGTTCCATTTAAAGAAATATTAGTTTGGGTTATATCTGAATAAATTCAGCCTTGAAAGCCTATGAAAATAAATTGAAAGATAGCTGAGATACAGGGGGGTCCCAAAATGCAACATTTCCAATTTCGCCCTCTATCTCAAAAACAAAGCATGCTATATATAGAGATTTTGTTTGTGAAAACTGCAAATTCCTATCTTTAATATTAAGAGAGATATCTCGTAGGGACATCAAAAATGGGCCATCCTATACAAGTTGGACATAAAACTGAGGAGTTCCGAATATATTTCATGTAAATTCATCTGAAGGAAACTTCCCCATTGTTTCTGTACAGGGCGGAGGGCCCCGGCAAGCGCGGCCCCAAGAAGAAGGAGCGACCGGCGGCGGCGGCGGCAGCTATGGTGGCGCCCACCGCCCTCGAAGACGCCGACGAAGACGACGGCGGCGACGAGAGCCAGGACGAGGGTGGGCCGACTGAGGGGGGCGGCGAGGGGAAGCTGAAGGCGGCAGAAGGCGGCGGCGGCGGTGAAGTTGAGGACGACGAAACTCGGGCTGGTAAGTGAGAAAACTTTTTTCTCACAACTGTCAAACAAACTGCACTTTTTTAAATATATTTGTTCTACTACTGTTATGAAAAGAAGCGCATTTCTCATAGATTACTTAGTAGTATTGCTCATACTGTGAGAAATATTTTCTCTCACAGCACTTTGCCAACACCTCAAACATTTCCATGGAGAATCAACAAAAATCGACCAAAACTTGGCTGGTCAGAGAGAGAAATATACTTTATTGTCTAAGAAACAGTATTTCTTATTGACAAAGCATAGCATTCAAAAAAGTTAATGAAAGTATAACATAACATAAACATATACAACTAAATTAATAATATAAAAAAAAAACTTATTAAGAGTGTAAAAGGACAATAAACAGTACACATTAAAAATTGAAGTGCACAATTGTGAGAGCAGATCAATAAAATATATACTATTTGGAGTAGTACATGTTGAGGACATAATAATAATAATAATAATAATGTATTTATTCCTTGAATTGATCATTCAAAAAATGATATAGGAATCGTCAAAAAAAAGTTGTATAAAATTATTATAAAGAGAATATACAAACACATAATAAAGTATTGACATAAAGATAAAGTGGGTCTAACATTCAAAACATCCAAAAACTATGATGGGAGGTAAACATTTGAAATACAATCACATTAAAAATAAAAATACAAATACAAAAATACAGATACAATCACCTCACTTCAGATTTTTGTCTCCAAAAATTCCTTCACAGAATAAAAACTTCTTTCCAGCAGATAATCCTTCACTTTTTTTTTTTAATTTTACGAGAGATGATATTTCCTTAATATCTGAGGGCAGGGAATTGAAGAACCGCGGACCAGTTGTGAGGTGTGACTTTTGAAAAATCTGAGTGCGGTGTTGTCTCGACCTCAGTAAATTACCGCTCCTTGTAGGATAAGTATGAGAATTTCCATTTGTTTCCAACTTGGATTCGTGTTTTTTCACGTAAATGACAGAATGGTAAATGTATATAGAAGGTAGTGTTAGAATTTTATGTTTTTTGAAAATAGGTCTACATGATTCGGTATATTTCAGACCATATATGAGTCGAATTATGCGTTTTTGACCAATGAAACAGAGTTTCATTGTAAAATTCCTCAATATTATAGTAGGCTCTTTTCAAAAGGGCATCTTTCACCAGTTTTCTGAATTTACTATGATCTTTTATAGTTCTTAGTTCAGTTGGTATATGGTTATAAATCTTTTTACTTTCAAATAACAAAGAAAATTTTGTCAAACTGGATTTTGGAATGGATAGAGCAATTTTCCTCTCCGTTATTTGTGGGGTCACATGATTTGTTTGTACTGTAGTCTCAGCCATATACTTTTTGTGAATCAGACATACCGTTTCCAAAATTAATAAACTTGGAGTGAGAATTCCTAAGTTTGAAAACAGTGGTCTGCATGACTCTCGAATTCCTACCTTGCCTAAGTACCTTATAGTACGTTTCTGCAGTATAAACACTGATTGAAAAAGTTGTTGGCTACAATATCAACAGAAAGCTATTCCATATCTCATATGAGATTCGATCAGAGAGTGATAGACCATCTTTGCTGTAGATGAACTCAATTCATTAGTGACAATTCTAAGAGCATAACATCCGGATGCCATTTTTTTAGTTAGAGCTGCAACATGCTGATCAAATTTCAATTTCTCATCTAAAGTTATTCCTAGGAATTTTGTATACTTTTTGTTGTCTAGAATTTTTCGGTTCAAGCTTAAATTGTTGCAGTCAAAACTAAAGCCCATTATATTTGTTTTTTTGTGATTAAAACACAGATAATTAGCTTCACACCATTGCTGAACCATTCCCAAGTCTCTAGCAATATTATTTCTTATGTTGTCACAATTTTTTTCGTGCCATAGTAGGGTGGTATCATCAGCAAACATGGTGAATCTTCCCTGAATGGGAACAATGGCCAGGTCATTTAAATATAAGAGGAAGAGAATTGGACCTAGGACAGATCCCTGTGGGACTCCCCATGTCATATCCCTGATGTCAGAGAGACTCCCATTTGATTTCATGATCTGTTTCCTATCACATAAAAGATTTGAACCATTTGTGACATACTCCTCTGAAACCATAGCAGTATAGTTTTTCTAATAGATTTACACAATTGAAGGCTTTAGAAAAGTCGCAGAATACTGCAGTCACTGCTTCACCATTGTTCAGGTTGGTGTATACATGTTCTAGGAAAGAGAAAATTGCGTCATTCGTGCTTTTTTTGCTTTGAGATCCGAATTGGGAATCAGTCAATATCTTATTGAAGTATAAAAATGATTACATCCGTTTTTTTACAAGTTTTTCTATAATTTTAGATAGTGTTGAAAGCAGAGAAATTGGTCTAAAATTGCTAGGATCTTTAGAATCGCCACCTTTATACCGGGTGTCCCAGTATACCTGTTCCAATAGATTATCTCAGCCATTTCAAAAGATGAAAATTTGGGAATTACATGATCTACTACAATTTTAATGATTTGAAATCATTATCGAAGTCAAAATCAAGATTACAAAAATACCGTAGCCTGCTGCAATTCCTTCAATTTGAAATTTCAATTGTCGTTTTCTCCATCAAATCAAATTTGAAATACAAAGTGTGATACATCGTTGGAACGGTAATTTTGAGTAGAAATCAAAAATTGCAATAAATATACAGGGTGCTATTTGAAATAAAAAAGTTGGAGTCACTTCCGGTCAAACCGGAAGTGACTTTCAATTTTTGTTTCTCTCAGTTGAAGCTTCCTTGAACGAATTGGAGATCATGAAATTTTCGAATTTTCATTTTTCGAAATGGCTGAGATAATTCATTGGAACAGGTATACTGGGACACCCGGTATATTGGGATAACTATTGCCGTTTTTAGGCATGGTGGGAATTTTCCAAATTCAAAAGATTTATTAATACATTCAACTAGCACATTCAAAGCTGAGTCTGGAAGATTGGTTATTATTTTAGCGGAAATTTCGTCGATTCCAGTTGAATTTTTATTTTTTATGTCATATAGAATTTCTTTCAATTCTAGTAAATTGGTGTCATCCAAGTGAAAATTATTTGAGTATTGATTGTTCTTAAATATTCCATGGGTTGAGTCTGGGGATCAATAGTAGATGTTGAATTATGAGCTATTGTACTGTAGTAATCATTGAGAGTGTTGGGATTGCTATTTTGATGGTGAGATTGCATTACCTCTTAAGCTGTTCACTATAGCCCAATTCTCTTTGCTTTTATTTTCAGCTTTTTTTATTCTATCTTTGTAATAAGTTTCCTTGGCATTCTTGATAACTTGTCTGTAAATTCTGCGATAATTAGTGGAGTACTTCAAAACAAAGGAATTAGTGTAGTGTTTTCTTAGTGTATGTAATGATCTCAGGTTGTTGCAGTTGTTGCAGTTGCAGATATTCTTATGCCTTGAGTTATCCATGGTTTATTTTTTTTTATTCTCTGGTTGAGAAAACAATCTTCGAAGATTTCAACTGAAATTTTTTGGAATTCACTTATAGAATCTGTTACAGTTAATGCATTATCCCAAGGAGTTTCATCACACTTCCGTTTGAATTCAGAAAAAATTTTTTTGCTATATATTCTGCCAAATTTGAAGTTTTTATTGGAAATATTGAAATGCAAAGGAAAGTTCAGTATGATAGCCTCATGGTCTGATAGACCCGCTGGGATAATATCACAAGCCAACTTGTCTTCATCTAGGTCAGTGCAAATGTAGTCAATAGTAGAGGCACTAAATTGTGAAATACGAGTTGGTTCATTTACCAACATTTTTAGCTTGTACGATAGAAGTAACGTGTCGAGAGTTTGAGTAGAAGTCGTTTTTTCCATATAATTTATATTGAAGTCACCCGCTAAAACGATTTGAGAGTTGACTGGAATTCTAGACAAAAGTGTCTCCAAACTGTTTAAAAATGATTTAACGTCACTTGATGGGGCTCTATAGATGCAAATGAAATATATATTATTTTTTGTTTCATGAATTACACAAAATTCAAATTCATTTTCTACTATGAGTGATTCAAATTTGTCAATATTTTTGATTGTCAGTTCTTTGCATAAGCTTTCCTCGACTAATATCATTGTACCCCCATGAGTTGTTTGTGTTCTGCAATACTTTGAAGCTATAATATAATTTGGACATATCAATGGTTCATCAGGTTTCAGCCAGTGTTCGGTCAAAAAAACAAAATTTGGAAAGTGTTGATGTTCAAGAAAGACAAAAAGGTCATTCAACTTATTGCAAGTGGATTGAATATTCAGGAGTAACAATGAAACTCTTTTGTGATTATTGAGATTATGTGCGTTACAGATATTTCTTGACTCATTATGCTGGATGATGTTTGAGCTTATATTATTCTCCTCTGATTCATCACTGATTCTAAAAAATGAGACTTGATTTACTTCCAAGTCTTCTCGCGTTATATTTTCTTTTTTGTCCTGAGTCATCGTCATTATGGGGCTATCTTGTTCTGTTCTACTGGCAATGAATTCTTGGATTATCCTTGATATCTCTCTACTCAGAAAACGGGCTGCGATTGGTTTCAATTCATATCCATTTCTTGAGTAGTTGGATCTTCTTATTATATTATTACATTCAAGAAAGACAGTATTTTCTAGCTTCTGGTGAAGTAGATTTTTTTGAAATTCCAAATTATGTTCGTAAAAATGTTTTGGTTCACTTTTATGTCATATCTGTATGGTTCTGAGATGATAATTGTTTGGGTATGCTGAGTTTCTTTCAGGAACGTTTCTAGTAAACTTGAGTTCATTTTATCCAACCATAGCAGAATGATATCCTTTTTTGAGAATTTTTTCGTATTCAGAAATGCTGTATGAATTAATTCTTCACAACCAGCACCAGGTTTTCTAATTGATTGGACTGAGTATTGTGAACACAGTGTTAATTGTTGTATCATTCCTCTCCCATGAATTCCTGATACAAATAATATTCTATTTTTTGATG